TCACATAAATAAATTTGGAAAAACCCTATTTTAATAACATATCTTTGGAATAAATGCATCTTATATAAAGAATTTAGCGAATTCAATCCTATATTTATTATATTTAGACAATTCGATCCAAGTACCCTTGACTCTTAAGAAACATTCGAAAACTAGGTTCATATAGAATAATAGATTTATTGAATAGAGATGCTAAGTTAAAATTTGGAGGTAAAAAAACGTGAGACATTATTCGTACAAATCTCCCACCAATTTTATTCATTTAAGACAAAAATTGAGAGCAATTTTTTTTATGATCAACGTAGGGCATTTTAATCAAAATTATATGTCATTTATCTAACATGTTTTATTCCATCAACAAGTTTTTGGATGTTTGTTAAGAATGGAGGACAATTGGATCAAATTGTTTAAATATAACAAACATAAGATTGAATTGGCCAAATTATTTACGTAGGATTTAATTTGTCAATTTAATATTGAGTCTCAAAATGAGGTTTTTCCAATAAATTCCAACTAGGTTTTTTTTTTTTTTTTGGAAAAACTCTTACATTTACCCCGGTGTTTGTGACAATTATTCTTTTTTTAAAAAAAAATTGAAATACACTTTTAACCTTTTAGAATAAAATAATTATATATTTATATATATATATATATATATATATATATATATATATATATGCAACTATCATTTAAAAATTCTAAGAATTCATGATAAATATTATACCAATTTATTTTTTAAAAAGAAAAAACAATCATGTTTGAAAATTTTATTCTAAAATTCAAGCATAGAGAAAAATAAATTATATTTATTTATAAATAAAATCTTATATAAAAAATATTAATTGGATTAGAATTAAAAAAGAAGAAGATAAATTCAAATAATCAAATTTAAATTATAAGAGTAGTATAAGTTGAAATATATATTAATTTTAAAATATAAAAAGATAGCATATATATACACACATACACATATGCTACGTGAAAATAAAAGAAAAATGAAAACTAAGGATTGAAAAAAATGTTATAACATGAGGGATGAAAAATAGAAAAAATTGTTAAATTTGCATCTTAATGCCCAAAAACAAACAAAAACAATTAAAAAAAATTACTTAAATTGTCATTAAGTGAATAGTAATTTTATGCATGTTAATAGTAAGTGAATAGGAATTTTAGACATATAAATAATTCGAATTCTCACGCTAGGCGATGGACCAAACTAAACATATTTATTTAAGTTTGATAACATATATTACGTTGTCGGTTAATTAAAATATATTAAATTAAAAATAAAAGATAAAATTTTATTTAATTTTATAACTTTTAATCAAAATTTTGTGTGTGTGTGTGTGTGTGTGTAGTGTGTATTATGTTTTGAATAAATTTTGAAGTCAAAAAAATATGATTTTTTCAAAAACCCATAATAAATAAATTTTAATATAAAATTAAAAAAATAACTTAATGTTTTCTTTTCATTACATTGTATCGAAGAAATAAAGCAACAATTAGTATATAAAATTGTATGAAAATTAACAATGAAATTTTTTTATTGTTGAGAAGATTATTTTTTTAAATATATACATTTGATTTACATATATTTGTTTACAAAATAATGAATAATATTAGTATACAAAATTATATTTGAATTATTAGGTGGTTATTATAAAATATTATTTTAATTATTTTATTTGAAAAAAATCATTTTAAATATTAAAAAAAAATAGCAAATAGTTGGTATTGTGTATATAGATGCATAGTTGATTTCTAATAAAATTGATGAGTCTAATGTTATTATTTTGTATACATCATGATCGTACTCAATAGGTGAGAATGTATAAAATAAATTAAAAAAATATTTTAAAAAATTACATGATAAAATATATATTGAAGTTAACTGAGTGCAGTAAAAATTATAAAACTAATTTTGATAAGATTTGATTATATAAAAAATAAGAAAATAAAATACATATATTCAATATTTAAAATTTGATTATATAAGAATTAAGCAAACAAAAACAGGTATTAAAAAAAACTTTGTTCGAATCCATACATAGAGAAAATATGTCACATTTATCAATAAATAAAATTATAAAAAATAAGAATAAAAATTAACTTAATGAGAATTTTATCAAAAAAATCAATTTTAAATAACAAGAGTAGTTTATTTTTATTCTAAAATCTAAAAATATATCATATAAATATAAACAAATATCGTATATATTATATAATCATCAGTTTGTATAGAAAAAAATAACGATTAATTTTTTAAAATTTTAACACCTAATTAAATAAAAAAACATAAATTGATGGAAAAAGATAAAGGAAAAAAAAAGCATGAGTAGTGCATCGGTTAGAGGATTAAAATTTTTATTTTAAAATTTTTAGAAACAAAAATGAAACAATCTGAAAATTAAATAAAAAAAAAGAACCTAAATTGATGGAAAAAATCAAAATGAAAAAAAAGGCATGTATAGTGAAAAAACTTTTTTTAAAAAAAGAAATAGCTACGGTAATGAATAGTGATTTGTGAGGGGTGAACAATGATTTTTACTATTTAAACCCCCACCTCTTTTAGTTATATAATAATTAGTCATTTGTTTGCGCTAAAGCTGTGAGTCCGGTAAAAAACAATATATTTTAAAATTTTAAAATCTTTTAATTATAATTTTTTTATTTTTTTATTTAAAAAACATAAATCATTCTTCTTTATGGGTTGATTTTAAAATAAAAAATATAATAACTTTAACTAAAACATTAATCAAGAACTTAAAAAAAATTTAAAAATATAATTTTTATAATATTGTATTTTAAAAAATAAAGTTATAATTAATGGACAAAAATTAACAAATGAAAAAAAAAGAACATAAATTGATAGAAAAAAAAGCAAAAAAAAGAAAAAGAAAAAAAGAAAAGAAAAGTGTGTGTAGTGCATCAACTAGGGGATTAAAATTTTTATTTTAAAATTTTAGAGAACGAAATGAAATAAACTAAAAATTAAATAAATTAAATAAAAAAAGAACCTATATTGATGGAAAAGAAAAAAGGAAAAAAAGAAAAAGAAAAAACATGTTTAGTGAAACAACTTGAAATTAATTTTTTTATTTTTTATTTATAAATTTATTGTTTAAAAAACATAAATCATTCTTCTTTATGAATTGATTTTAAAATAAAAAAATGTAATAATTTTAACAAAATATTAATCAATAATTAAAAAAAACCCTTAAAAATATAATTTTCATAATATTGTATTCCAAAAAATAAATTTATAATTAATAGAGCCATTTTTTCAAAAATTAACAAATGAAAAAAAAAAGAACATAAATTGATGGAAAAAAGCAAAGGAAAAGAAGACATGTGTAGTGCATTAGCTAGGAGATTAAAATTTTTATTTTAAAATTTTAGAGACCAAAATGAAACAACCTGAAAATTTAAAGAAATTAAATTAAAAAAGAACCTAATTTGATGGGGAAAAAAAAACATGTATAGTGAAACAACTTAAAAAAAAAAAAAAAAACCTTTGCTATTGGAATGAATAATGATTTGTTTGTTTAAAAAACATAAATCATTCTTTTTTATGGATTGATTTTAAAATAAAAAATATAATACTTTTAACTAAAATATTAATCAAGAATTAACAAAAAACTTTAAAAATATAATTTTTAAAATATTTTATTCTAAAAAATAAAATTATAATTAATGGACGAGACTTTTACAAAAATTAGCAAATGAAAGAAAGAGAGCATAAATTGATAGAAAAAAGCAAAGGAAAAAAAAAGACATGTGTAGTGATGAGCTAGGGGATTAAAACCTTTATTTTAAAATTTAAGGGATCAAAATAAAACAACCTGAAAAAAAAAAAAAGAACCTAGTTTAATGGAAAAAAGTAAAAGAAAAAAAACATGTAAAGTGAAACAATTTTTTTTTTTAAAAAAATTTTAATGAAGCAATTTGAAAATTAAAATAAGAACCTAGTTGATGGAAAAAATTAAAGGAAAAAAAAACATGTAAAGTAAAACAACTTAAAAAAAAAACACTTGCTACAAGAATGAATAATGATTTATAAGAGAGTGAACGAGTGAGTTGTATTGTATAAACCTCTCATCTATTTTAGTTTATAATAATAATAATGACGACGATGATTATTATTATTTATGAGGGAGTTAACAATAATTTGCACTGTAGGAACCCCTTCCCTTCTAATTATATAGTAATAGTCAAGTAAGAGCATCTCCAATGCTCTCTTTATATTAAGATTTTTCTTTATAATAAAGAGGCTTGATCCAAATTTCATCTCCAATGCTCTCTTTATCACAATCTTTATCTTTAAAATTAGTATAAAGAGTGTCTTTGGCTCTCCAATACTAGAGAGTCCAAATGACTTTTTATCTTATATTTTATTAATGAAAATTACTATTTCTAATGCCACTCAACCTCTTCACCAATGACGTCTATGGGTTTTATAGATTTTATCAAAATAAAGAGTTAAATACAGAGTAGCATTAGAGAGGATATTGATCTTCTATCTATATAATTAATGATACTCTCTATTTACATTAAAAATGCTAACTAAAAATAAAGAGCACCATTGGAGTTGCTCTAATAATAATAGTAACATTAATATTTTTTATTTGATAATTTGAGACGACTATTTGTATTAAAGAAAGAAAGAACCAAATAGTGGAAATATAATCATTTAAAAAAGGCGGGAAGGTAAAGGGTTGAGAAAAAACTGAGAGATTTATAGGGAGAGAAAGAGCAAGACAAAAGTCATAACTCGTACTGATCTTTTGAAGGGAAGAACAGAGAAAACATGTTAAATAATAATAATAATAATAATAATAATAAAATCTAAAGAAAGACCCAAAAAGTCGCATAAATTTGTTAGTTAAGACTCCTCCTACTTCTTCTACGGACAGACACACACTCATATAAATTCTGTCATTTCCTTGATCCAAACAACACAATACGACTCTTTTTTTGGGTGATCGAAGAGGTAGGAGATCATGTCTGGGAGTTACAGAATGTGTGGGTGTTTCACTAGGAAGTTCAAAGTCACAAAGGCTGGCCCACCTCCGGATGTCATGGAAGCTTTCCACAAGTTCACCGACGGAGGGACCCACATGTCGGCGGAGCAACTGTGGCGCTACTTGGTGGAAGTTCAAGGAGATGGCGGCGCCTCCATTTCTGACGCCCAGAAGATAGTGGAGCAGGTTTTGCAACAGATGCATCATATTGCTAAGTTTACTAGGCATACTCTCACTCTTGATGACTTTCACCATTATCTGTTCTCTGCTGATCTCAATCCCCCTATTGGAGATCAGGTAATTGGATTATTTTTTTTTTTCAATTTGTTTGTCTTACCAAATTTTAAAATGGAAGAGTAATTCCAGCACTCCCCAGTGGTAAATCTCATCATCAGAGTAAATTCATAGTCTTTTTAGATTCAAAGCAATGCATTGCTTGTCGATGTCAATTTTAGTTTTTGAGTATGAAGTTTCTTTAATGATCGGGAAACTGGGTTGTCATTGGATAATGGGATTAAAAAGTACCTTTTTTTTTTTTTTTTAGCTTTCACACTGTTTGAAAGAATTTTTGGTGTTTTAATACTCAATAGTGCTTTCTTTTCAGGTTCATCAGGATATGACCAAACCACTGTCCCATTATTTCATATATACTGGCCACAATTCCTACCTAACGGGAAACCAACTCAGCAGTAATTGCAGTGATGTCCCGATTATAAACTCTTTGAAAAGAGGTGTAAGAGTGATAGAGCTTGACATATGGCCAAATTCTACCAAAGATGATGTTGATGTTCTACATGGAAGGTGTGCAAATTCAAAATCTTTCATTTGTTGAAGTTTTTAGATGGTAGTACTTAGGTTCAGTGCCTAAGGCAATTTAGATGGACTCTTAGATTGCTAAATTCTGGAATTGGCAATAAATTACATGAGGCATTATAGAAGTTTTAAAAAGGAACTGTAGCAAATCGAAGGCAAAAGGAAACAGTGAGTGAACACAGTTTTTCTTCTGATTGGATATGCCTTTACTTCACCTTGCAATACTATGCTTGGTTGAAGTCAGTTACAGGTTATGCTTTTAACACAGATGTTAGACTGATGTTATAGCGATATTGATGATTCCGGTAGATGTTCTTTAGATATCTTATGCATTAGTGAAACAATAAGGTTGGCTATAGTTGATTCCTGGACTTGAAGACTGCTCAAATTTGTAGATATTTAAAGCCTTTTTAAGATCAGTATTCTTTCTTTATTTGTCATTTTCTTATTTTTCTTCTAGTTATGGTTGATGGAAACTTTGATAACTTCAACTATCCTTCTCTTTCTTCGATTTTGGTTGATCTGTTAATGTGTTTGTGCTTAAATGTAGGACCCTGACTTCTCCAGTGGAGCTCATTAAATGTTTGAAATCCATAAAAGAATATGCCTTTTCATCCTCCCCATATCCAGTCATAATAACTCTTGAAGATCACCTTACCCCAGGCCTTCAATTCAAAGTAGCTAAGGTGTTATTTCCTTTTCCTTTTACGGAGGATTTAAGCCGACAATTTTTTCCTTAGAATGGTCAATTTATTGATCGCAAAAGATTTTTGTGTTTAGATGATCACTGAAACATTTGGAGACATGCTGTTTTGTCCTGAATGTGAATGTTTAGAAGAGTTCCCTTCTCCAGAAGAGTTGAAGTATCGAATAATTATTTCAACAAAACCCCCAAAGGAGTATCTTAAAGCTAAAAGTGGCCAGAGCAAGGGAAATAAGTCCCAAAAGGATAAGGATTCTGATGATGATACATGGGGGAAGGAGCCATCGGATCTTATGTCCGATCAAGAAGATGGTGATACGGTATGCTGAGAAATGAAAGTTTCTACCCTCAACTGCAAGTTAAATGAACAGCTAGTTTCTGAGGTGATAATTTCTGTTCATGTTGCATTATTTGCTTGCAGAGTGATACTGATTCAAGTGAAGATAGTGAAAGTGAGACACAGCAGTTAGGAGTATCAGCATACAAGCGTCTTATTGCCATTCATGCTGGGAAACCCAAGGGTGGATTAAAGGAGGCACTAAAGGTTGATCCTCATAAAGTTAGACGCCTAAGTTTGAGCGAGCAAGCCCTTGAAAAGGCTACTGAAAATCGTGGAACAGATCTTATCAGGTAATCGTTGATATTCAATTTCTGGTGCAAGACATTTCAAATACAAGTATATATTCTAAGTGTGCTTGCATTTTCCCATTTCTTGTAATTGGTTTACTATTCCAAACTACTAGGCCTAGATCTTGCAATCTCTCTGTACAGGTTTACCCAGAAAAATGTCTTAAGGGTGTATCCTAAAGGTACTCGTTTTACCTCTTCCAACTACAAGCCACTAGTTGGTTGGACACATGGGGCTCAAATGGTTGCATTTAATATGCAGGTATGATTTAGTGTTCTTTCTCCAGGTTGACAAACTGAAACGTTATTTAATGTTCTTCAGATCATGTTAATCTTCATTCGTTGATACTGTACTCCTCTAGTTCCCTTTCTTAAAATGGTTAGAACTGATTCAACTGGATTATGTTTTTGCAACATTCAGCGTTAACCTGAAGTCTTTAATTGCATTTCAAGAGCAGTGTGTCAGATATTTATATGTACTGTACTAAGGTCATTGACATTGAGCTATTAAGCATTCCATTGTGCAGCAGTGAAAAGACCAATGAGTTACCTTGATTGTTTAAGTCTGTTGGCATTTCTTTCATTCTAAAGTTTGATTGAAAGTTAAAATGCTCCTTTTGGCTGTAAGAGTTGAGCCAATGCATCATTTAAAGCAAACAGAAAAAAGAATTATGCTTTCAATTTTCACCTCCTCAAAGGATAGTTTTTATCTTAGGCTAGTTTTTGGTCTCTAGTTTTACCATTTCATCTGTGAAGTTCAGTAAATGGCGGTGAGGAATTCACCTTTGACCTTTGAAGGCAATCAAAATTGCTTGGCAGAATTACCAGATTTGCACATGTAAATAACACAATGATGGACAGAGATAGACAGGAAAAAGACAAATTAATAGGATGCACATTTCAGTCTTTTATCATTCAATTAGTTACTATTAAGCTAATTACAACCTAGTACTGTCTAATAGAAGAAGAGGCTGAAAATAGAAAAGAGAAGGACAAGTGGCTTAAATTTTGTAATGTGTCCTTAGATGTGACTTGTTATTTAACTTGACAGTGTTCTTCTGTTTTCCCATTGCTCAATTTGAAAAACTACAAGCTATTGGTTCTCATGACTTCCTAGTTCTAACTCTCAATATTTTCTCTCCCACATTCAGGGTTATGGCAGAGCTCTTTGGCTGATGCATGGGATGTTTAGGTCCAATGGGAGATGCGGTTTTGTGAAGAAACCTGATTTCCTGATGAATGCGGGTCCACATGGTGAAGTTTTTAATCATAAAACCAAATTGCCTGTGAAAAAAACTTTAAAGGTGAGTGCATTGTCACCAACCACCCCTCTCTACTCATTCTTTCCTGTAGAGCTCTAAAATTGTGCAATGTGATTTGACAGGTGAAAGTGTATATGGGTGATGGTTGGCATTTGGATTTCAAAAAGACACACTTCGACTCATATTCCCCACCTGATTTCTACACCAGGGTTAGTTAGGCATGCATTTGTTTTGTAAAGCGAATTTTACCCAAGCAATAAAGTTCATTTCCCCCTTGATTCATGAATTCACCAGTTAATTTGAATTTTAGGTTGGCATTGCAGGAGTGCCAAGCGATGTGATCATGAAGAGAACAAAAACAATAGAGGACAATTGGACACCTGTTTGGGGGGAAGAATTTATATTTCAGTTGACTGTTCCTGAGCTAGCTTTACTACGAATTGAAGTTCATGAGTATGACATGTCTGAGAAGGATGATTTTGCTGGACAGACTTGTTTGCCTGTATCTGAACTGAGACCAGGAATCCGTGCAGTACCCCTCTTCGATCGCAAGGGAGAGAAGTTAAACTCAGTGAGGCTTCTCATGCACTTTGAGTTTGTCTAATGACTGACCTCATCAATTTTTCGCTCCATGTATATATTTCAGTTGAGTCTTTTCATCCACGGTTTCATGTCCATGCTATTGCTATGTATCTATTCTTCAGAACTGTTATGAACCAATCATGATCTGTATTTTCTTTCCTTTAATGAACAAGGTTTATATACTCATTTGTTACAAGAGTCGTTTTTTCTTAACAAATAATCTAAGGTTCTTTGCATGCATATTAAAGGAAAACTCATGGCTGTTCTTTGATCATGGTCAGAAATTTCCTTATATTTTAAAACCCTTGGAAGTTTACTTGTAATTTTTATGCACATTCACGTAAAACAACAACAGTTACTTTCTACGCATATTGCATTCTCTACGGTCTAAATGCTTAGTAGAATTTTTTAGGACACGCAATTAGGCATGATGATTAATGTGAAACAGTCTGAATTTCTATAATTTAAGCTGCTTGCTGAGAGCTCTCTGCACTACTTACAACAGGGGAAGGGACCGTATGTATGAGCCTAGTCGACGTCAGACCTTAAAGTAGCCTGGGGATAGTGGCATAGTCCCTTAGGCTTAAAAACTCTGCGTTTGAATGCAGAAAGTGCTTGAGTTGGAACTTCGTTTAGCTTGGGTACTGGTGTAGGAAATCTTAGAATAAAATATCAAGGCGAGCAAGTGATTGCAAGTTTGGGAGCTCTAGAGTGTGGTCAGTTAATACCTTCTGATCTCACATGACTATCCTGCTTTCTACTATTTGAGTATTAGAAAATCTCATATTCATTCCGGCGAGATGCAAAAGCAGATGGAAGTAAATTTGTCCAGACAAAAATGCAAAACAATTATAAAAGCCGACATGCTCTTTGATATTACAGATAATCCAAGTTCGAAAAACATGATTCTAAACCTAAAATGAAGCCAAAAGAAAAACAGCAAATCAGTCTGAAAAAAGAATTACAACCAAAATTAGAACTTGATAACTTGATTTTATTTTATTGCATCTGGTTTTCCATTCACGGATGAGAAAAGAAGTGGGATGAGGGGTATATAAATAGTGTGATAGTGGCCTCTATATTCTCCTGTAAACTTTACGACTTATATGCTAAGAATTTCATAACTCAAGGAACGAATGCAATCCTTGCCCCACAACTGCTTCTTTGATCTGTTTGTGGTTCGCAGTTAATAACAGTGACAATAAATTCTTTCCTTTCTATCGAAGTTGAAAGATTGGTAGAATTACTGGAATAACATTCTCCTGGCCTCTATTGTTTGTTTCTGAAACAACAAACGAAGAAATGAAGAGGACGGGATGTGAATACTGTAACTTTCTTATAATAAGAGCAATATAGATTCTCGCTTTGCTCAAGCGCCGCTCTTGAGATGTACAGCCATTTGAAGATATTCTTCTCTTTCTTCATTCGTGTGTATATATATATATATATATGTATAAAGCGGAATATATATATACATACATGTAAGCATAAAAAAAATCAACCGAAGGATTTCCGTCTCTTTTTCTTTAGCAAATGGCGTGGCAGACTTTCAGGGTCTGCTTTTGTTGCATAAGAACTTTCATGCACAGGTTGCTTGAACCCCCTGAAGATGTCAAGAAACTCTTCCAAAACTACTCACAGAATGGCACCATGTCAATTGATGGTCTACGTAAATTTCTCTCTGAGGTTCAAGGACAAAACAATGCAACGGAAGATGATGCTCAGGCTATCTTTGATAGTCTTAAGCATCTCAACATCTTCCAAAGAAAGGAGCTTGACCTTGACGCCTTCTTTCGATATCTTCTTGGTGACCTTAATACTCCTCTTTCTCCATCTAGCAGTGTAATCCTCCTCTCTCTCTCTCTCCACCTCAACCCTCTTTTTCTCAATTCCAGAATTATACCAAACTTCTTCCATGCAGCAATCTTTAGTGTATCGATAGTTAAAATCATCTGTGTCAGGGTCAATTGATATAACTTTTCCAAATCCTGTCTGTCTCTTGATCTCTCTCTCTCTCTCTCTCTATATCTCCCCTAATGGTAATAGTTTTGTAATGTTTTTGAACTCAGGTGCAACATGACATGACTGCTCCACTAGCTCATTATTTCATGTACACAGGCCACAACTCTTACTTGACTGGGAATCAACTCAGCAGCGAGAGCAGTGTTGAACCCATCAAGAAGGCCTTGCTAAAAGGTGTAAGAGTGATTGAATTAGATTTATGGCGTGGCCAGAACAACAATGTGGTGGTTCGCCATGGACGGTATGAAATTAATTTTCCTTTTATTTCCAGATTTTATATGGTGGTGTTTTACTGTTGCTTGTGTCTGCCAAATATAAGCTATATATATAGTCTAATTTGATATTTTAATATTATATATATGGTTCTAAAATTTGATTTAATAAAAAGGTTTTAATTAACATTATTTTCTATGTGATTCACATTTTAATTTTAATAAATCTAATCCATAATTTAAGTATAAAATAATAAATACCAAGGACAAATAAATTAAGTGACAAAAAATAACTATATATAAAGAGAAAATTTAACTTATCTAAAAATTGTAGCCTTGTTAGTTTCTTCATGTTACTCTAAAGCAATTTGACTTCAGCCTTTAATTGTTTTTTTTTTATTTGAAAGTCTTTATGTATCTACCTATCTTATATTGTAAATTTTCTTACAAGAAAAATAGCCAATTATTAATTTTAATTACTAAATGAATTATATGATTAAAATTATTTAACCAAATATTTTAATGATAGTTAAAAATGTTGTTTTTGGAATATAGCTAAAGTGAAACACTAAATCCATAAAGAATCGTCTTAAATTCTCAATAACTGTACTATGCATCGCTTTACATTTATCGTTTGTTAATGTGGATTTAAGAAATTAGTGTTTTCCATAGCTAAATTGTTAATATATATATATATATGACAATGTTTGGCTCCATAAATTCTTTTTAGCTTTTTTTTTATTATTATTTTGAATTTATTTAATTTTAGAGATGGTAAATAATTAATTCGAACTTAACAATCCAATTAAGTTCTAAGCTTTGAGTCATTAACTACTTGAACAATGTCTTATTAGCTTTTATTGTGCATGTATACTTAATTAATATGTGAACAAAATATATACCTATCTATAGTAAAAAAATAAAAAATAAATAACTAATGAGTAACTAGCTCAAGTGGTAGTAGCCTTTAATTAATTTGTTCTTACCATCATCCAAATTATTGTTATGACCACTGTCACCATGTATATATATAGCATCATTAGGTTTTGGATTGGAAGAAGAATTTAAAAGTTCAGAGAAAAAAAAATTTCATTACCATTATATTATATAAATGCAATAAAATAAATAAAATCTAATAGTTGTAATTACCGTTTTGATAAGTATTTTAGTATTCTTATTATTTTATTTTTTTTGGGTTAATTTCTTTAAAATAAAATTTTAATAAATCAATACATATATAATGCTATATTTTTAAAATTAATTGAATTCATGGCTTAGTTCGATTAAAGTTATATTAAATATTCTAAACCATTCCTCATATATAGGTGCAATTTAATTGTCTGCCATAATTTCTTTCCATATCAAAAGATTTATTGAATTTTGTTATTTGAAAGTCATAATAACATATGCACTCTAAACATTTATATTTGATGAAAATGTTAAATTTGTAACTAAATATTCTAAGCCGATCTTGATATATATAATTAATTTAATTCTTATACCGTCATTTTTCTTACATGATCAACTACTTAACATTTATTTAATTTCTTCATTTCAAAGTCATAATAACATTTTTTTTTTTTTTGTTTATGCAACTCTATATGGAAAAAAGAATTAGATTTATTAGGAATAAGAAAACTATTCTTTTTCAATAAAAAAATAAAGACACTACTCGGTTAAATTGAGACGTGAGATATTGTTGATTTTATTTTTTCACACTATCAATTAAAGTAGACTTGATGAATAAAAAAATTTACGAAGAGAATATTTGTATATCGATGCCACAACGTTACAAAAATTTGATTTATAATGCAAGGTTCAATGGGAATTTTTTTAACACAAGGTTGTACATTATTAAAACAATTACAATTCAAGATCGAATGAGAAGTGCTATTTAAGCATATTCATAATTTCTACTTGCCATTTAGTAAATTCTAGAATTATAACGTCACTCTGTATAATGTCTTGTAAAGCAAGAACATGCGCTTAGGTTCTGCTTTTGATCCTGTGATTTGCTCCCAAAATTTTAACAAGATCTTATAGTTTGCTTCTAGTTCACAACTTTACAAAAATGTATTATGACTCAAACCATCAAGTGATTAGATTTCTCTTACATGTACAGGACCCTGACTGGTTCAGTGGAACTCCTCAAATGTTTGCTTGCTATTAAGGAATTTGCATTTCAGGCATCTGAATATCCAGTTGTGATAACCTTTGAAGACCACCTACTTGCTGATCTTCAGGCTAAGGTTGCCGAGGTGACAGTGAGCTTCTGTCATGGATTTTGCTGTTGTTAACATGGTTTCGAGTGTACCTCTTGTGTGACCAAAATCAGTATGTGTGTCTCCAGATGGTCGCTAAAACATTTGGGGGCATGCTGTACCGTCCCGGGACAGATCCATTACTGAAATTTCCATCACCGGAGTCATTGAAGAAAAAGGTTTTGATCTCAACTAAACCACCAAAAAAGTATCTTGAAACTCAAGATGGAAAACCTTCACAAAAGTCAACAAAATCATCCAAAAAGGGACAAGAAGACGATGATGAGGTGCATCTGGAACAGTATTCACTCTGTTCTCATTCTGAATGCTCAAAGAATTACCCTGTTTAATTGCTTATTCTGGTCCTTTGCTATGCAGGATGAGATTGCTGAGGGAGAACATCTTCAAGAAGAATATGAGGAGATGAAAGTACCTGAATACAGGCATTTAATTGCCATTCACGCAATGAAGCCGAAAGGTGCATTAGGAAACTGGTTCAGTACAGATGAGAAAGAAGTAAGACGTCTGAGCTTGAGTGAGCAAAAACTTGAAAAAGCTACAAGTACACGAGGAATTGACATTATCAGGTAAATAAGATCATATATTCAGAGTAAATTTCTCAAACGAAATCTTGTGTTTGTCTTACGGTCTCCAAATGCTCATACGGAGTCCCCAGAATAAAATCACTAGTTTGGTCAACCATTTTGGTTAACAAGGATTTTCTGCTTCGTTGATATATAACTTATGTTGTTAATTCAGGGACAGCATTTCAGTCCAGAATGTCTTAACACTTCGGATCTTTTGCTCATTCATGAGGCAGGGCATTGTGTCTAAATTTGTTTTAGTACTGATTAAAAGCTCTGATACTATTTACCTTGCCATCTTAATTATCAGATCTCAATGTCAAGTCTAATGATTTCTCCTCTAGGTTCACCCAGCGTAATTTGTTGAGGATATACCCTAAAGGTACACGCATCACTTCATCTAATTACGATCCTTTTGTTGGATGGACGCACGGAGCTCAAATGGTTGCATTTAATATGCAGGTTGGTCTCCTTCTTAGGTTGACAGAATGAGCATTGATACTTTAGTTCTATAGGAATACCTATGACTTTGAATTCTATTTTTAATTTTCTCATGCAAAATAGAAGTAAAGATGTCATCGAAGGCTTCTTTTCCACTATTTCTGTCACTGAATCTCTCTATAGGACATAAGGCCGAACGAGAGCCTCGGAAGTCAGATGAATACTTTAAAAAGTTATCTTGACAGAAGCACATGTCAAAAGTTCTTTAGGTAGCAAAACTTTTGTTCCAATAGTACAGATGACGCAACTGAAAACGCAGGTCTCTGTATACTATCAGGATCCTGTGATGTGCTTTTTTTTAAAAAAAAAATCCTGTGTTGTGCTTATTGCAGGCAAGATTAGTAGTTTATGACTTTCTTGTAACCGTGTTGGCTCTAAGAATTTTCTTCATCAGAAGCGAATAGGAATACAAGTCCACATATATATATATATAACTGCCTATCATTGTTGAAGTAAATCAAGTCTCATATCTAAATCGCTAGCGCTTTTAGTGATGCTGGCGACAATTTTGGAGTATTCTGAGTAAAGTTCAAGAATTCCTAGAAACCTTTGGTCATTTTGCTTTGAGATCTAGCTCCTCTATGTTGTAGGGTAGAGTTCAAGCTGCATGATAATGACATGCAACTTGCTTTAAAATTTTTCTGTAGGATAGTATATGTGGGAGACTCGTGTCACTGTAATTCAAGTCTAGATAACTTCCAAGAACAGAAAACAGTGATTCTCTAGCCACAACATTATTAAAAAAAAAAAAACCCAACAGTTTATGAGACTACAGATCCAACAACACTATCAGCAAACTTTGTCTTTAAGCTAAATTGGGTGTTTGGATTTCCTAGCAGCTCCAGTTACAAGGGAAAAATGGTGCATGCTTTCTTCTGCTAACACTCTATTTTCATGTTTGACTGATCAATTTCAACAGGAAGAGAATTTTGAATTGTTTGAGCTCCATTTCAATCGCTTGTTGGGACAGAAAGTCCATTCTCTGTGTTGTGACCTCATAGGTTTCCTTGAACTTCTTCCTTTCCTCTTTATTTCCTTGACAGGGATATGGGAAGCACCTTTGGATTATGCAAGGAATGTTTAGAGCCAATGGTGGCTGTGGTTATGTAAAAAAACCTGATTTTTTATTGAGTGAACAGGTTTTTGATCCTAGTATGCAATTGCCGGTCAAGAAGATTTTGAAGGTGCGTGGACTTAGGAAGGAACTATATAAATGTTTTGAATTTCCACCTGTCATCTCTTTAATACTGAAGCATCAGGATCTGTTTCACCTTTTTATTATCAGGTGAAAATCTACTCTGGGGTAGGGTGGCATTTGGATTTTCCCAACACACATTTTGATCCATATTCTCCACCTGACTTTTTCTTCAAAGTAAGATGATCTGTGTAAAAAATTAGTACAAGTATCAGTTGGGATTTCAAGTCACAAATTTTGGAACTGTTTCACCATCAGAGTTATGTACTTGCTGTAATCTTTGACAAGCCACAAGTTGTTTTTTATGCTCATCTTAAAGCGCATCACTATGCTTTACTCATTGGCAGAATGCTACTCTAGATTTCCCTCTTTTGGAACAGGACCATGTAAAAAATGTTACTTATGATAACCAGTTAATGGATTCACAGGTTGCAATTGCTGGGGTTCAAGCTGATAAAGCTGAAGATAAAACGAATGTAGTTAACAACAGCTGGCTACCGGAATGGAATGAGGAATTTAAGTTCAAGCTGACCGTTCCTGAATTGGCTGTGCTCAGGATCAAAGTGGTCGAGCAAGACATATCTGGAAATAATGACTTTGGAGGCCAAACATGTTTGCCTATATCAGAGTTGAGAACTGGGATTCGAGCGGTTCCATTGCATAACCGAAGAGGGGAGAAATACAAGAATACAGAGCTTCTTATTAAATTTGACCTTTTAGACCCCGAAGAATGTTCCGACTGACTTACATTGAGATTGATTCTCTCCATTAGTGGATTGAACCAAGCAGCATTTTCCCTAGTTATTCTATTCTATTATCTTTGCAAATTGTCATCTTATTGTAATCATTGACAAATGAAAAGGATTTAAAAAGTTAATGAGAGTAGGCTACTATAGCCCAACCACATTAAATCCTTCGTCAGTAAATCTATTTGGAGGAAAATGCCACCATGGTATAGAGTTTCTAATTATCTTAATGAATGGCTAAATCATTTATGAAGCAGCCATGCCTATTGTATGGCAGAACATAAGATGTAATTATGTGCTTGCAAACTTCAAATGGTGTAAAGCATGTTAGGATTTGACAAACTTATGACGTAACTTAAAAATCTTAATTAAGTTCAGAGCGACAGAAAAGAGATTTGTGGCCTCTGAACTTTTCTTGGATACGCTTTATTTACCTTCACAGAGAAGTGATCTTCCCTTATGGATTATTAGAATTCTAAAAGAAGGAAAGGGAATATATAGCAGTGACAAGAAATTCTTTCCTTTATATTAAGTTGCAAGATTGGTAGAATTACTGCAACAACATTCTTCTGGCCTCGATTGTTTGTCTCTGAAACAACAAAAAAAGAAACGAAGAAGACGGGATGTGAATGCTGTAACTTTTATAATATGCGCATTATAGATTCTCACTTTGCTCTAGCGCCACTCTTTAAGATGTACAGCCATTTGAAGATATTCTTCTCCTTCTCTGTGCTTATAAAGCAGAATATATATATATACATGAAAGCACAAACAACATCAACTCAAGGACTCCATGTTTTTTTCTTTAACAAATGGCTATGCACTCTTTCCAGGTCTGCTTCTGTGGCATAAGAAATTTCATCCACAGGGTGCTTGGACCCCCTGATGATGTCAAGACACTATTCAAGGATTTCTCACAGGGTGGCAGCATGTCAATGGATGGTCTACGTAATTTTCTCTCTGTTGTGCAAGGACAAAACAATGCCCCAGAAGATGATACTGATGACGCTCAGGCTATCTTTGATCGTCTCAAGCATCTCGGCTTCTTCCAAAGAAAGGACCTTAGTCTGGAAGCCTTCTATCGATATCTTCTTGGTGACCTTAATACTCCTCTTTCTCCATCTAGCAGGGTAATTCTCCTCTCTCTCTCTCTCTCCATCTCAAGTCTCAACCCTCCTTTATCGCAATTCCAGGATTATAGATCTCTCATGGAGGCATCTTTAATATCTCGCCAATTGATATAACTTTCCAAATCATCACTCTCACTCTCACTCCTGCGCGTATGTATCTCCTAATGGTTATAGTGTGTAATGTTTTGAATTCAGGTCCACCATGACATGACTGCTCCATTAGCTCATTATTTCATGTACACAGGCCACAACTCTTACTTGACTGGGAATCAATTCAGCAGTGCGAGCAGTGTTGAACCTATCAAAAGGGCTTTGCAAAATGGTGTAAGAGTAATTGAATTAGACTTGTGGCCAGCCGCGAACAACAAGGTGGTGGTTTGCCATGGAAGGTAGTATTAGTTAATTTCATTTATTTCTAGTTCTGACAATATTTGAGTAATTATGCCTTATATCAATTTGGCTTGTTTCTTAACCTACATAACATAAATATAAGAAAAATGATGTGTTGATTCGCCATGGAAGGTATGAAATTAATTTTTGCTTCAATTTCTAGATCTCATATTGTGTTGTATTGCTGCTTGTGTCTAGTCTACCTAATTTATGCTCGAGGTTTTTGTTTTTTGTTTTGGTTTCGGAATATAAATACGTGATTTTCATTGAAGAAGTGAAAGAGAAAAGAATTCATTCTTAATTGCACTCTAATCAACGAGGATGCGTTCGAGCCATTTTGTTTTTTCTTATGGGGTCATCAAGGAACTACCCATTGTAATATAAATGATTCACCACTTTTATAACTACTTATAAAGCTTGCAGTCTTATTGGGTGTGAAATGGTCCGGGCCATGGATGAAAGCTGTAGTAGCATTTCAATTATTTAGAAAGAATACCTGCACAGGTTTTGATGTTTCTGAAAATCAGATGCTGCTCCAAATTGAATCACATTCTATATTTTTTACCCCACATCATGTAGCCACCTTTTGCATGTTATGAACTACAACTTCATTAAAAGAAAAGAAAAAAAAAGCTGCAATCTCAGAGATGATCAGTGTTTTCTTTCAGCTATTCTACTTGCCATTTAGAAAATTCTAGAATAAGAACATCACTTCGTATGATGCCCTACAATGCAAGAAAATGCACCCATTAATTTCAGCTTCAAGGTTACAGTTATTGATCCTGTGATTTGCACCGAAATATTCAACATATTATATTCTGCTTCATGGTTAACAACTTTACGAATGTATTATGCCTTGAGCCCTCAAATGATTAGATTTCTTCTTTATATGCAGGACACTAACTAGTTCAGTGGAACTCCTCAAATGTTTGATTACTATTAAGGAATTTGCCTTTCAGAAATCTGAGTATCCTGTTGTGATAACCTTTGAAGACCACCTACCTGCCCGTCTTCAGGCCAAGGTTGCTGAGGTGAGAGTGGACTTATATCATGAGATTTTGATATGATTAGCATGGTTTTGAGTGTACCTCTTGTGTGACCAAAAGCAGTATTGTCTGTAGATGGTCACTAAAACATTTAGATAAATGCTGCACTGTCCCGGGACGGATCAATTACTGGAATTTCCGTCGCCGGAATCTTTGAAGAAAAAGGTTTTGATTTCAACTAAACCGCCAAAAGAGTATCCTGAAATTCAAAATAGCAAATCTCCTCAAATGTCAACAGAATCATCAAAGGAAGAACAAAGGGATGATGAGACAGCTTCCCAAAATGATCTTGAAACTCATGAGGTGCACTCTTCAAGAATTAATCTCTTTAACTGCTTATTCATGCGCTTCGCCAAGCAGGATGAGATAGATGTGGGAGAGCAGCTTCAAGAAGACGATGAGGAGATAAGACCACCTCAATACAAGCATTTAATCGCCATTCATGCAGGGAAGCCGAAAGGTGAATTAGAGAACTGGTTCATCATAAATGAGAAAGGAGTAAAACGTCTGAGTTTGAGTGAGCAAGTACTTGAAAATGCCATAAGAAAATGTGGAAAATACATCACCAGGTAATAATATTATACATTCAGAATAAATTTCTCAAACAAAGTCCTGTATGTGTCTTAGGGTCTGCAAATGCTCATACGGGGCCCAAAAAAAGTTCACTAGCTTTGGTTCATTTTACAAGGATATGTGCTTCATTGATATAAATTCAGGTTGACAAGTCAGGGGCGAAAATTGCAGTCCAGAAATATGCCTTAACACCTCGAGTCTTCTGCTCATTCATGAGGCAGGCTGGCCGCTGGCATGCCTGTCTAAATTCGTTTTACTACTGATTATAACCTCAAATATCATTTACCTGCTCATTTTAATTATCAGATCCAATTATCAAGTCTAATGATTTCTTCCTCTAGGTTCACCCAGCATAATTTGTTGAGGGTATACCCCAAAGCTACACGTATTTATTCATCCAATTACGATCCTTTTGTCGGATGGACGCATGGAGCTCAAATGGTTGCATTCAATATGCAGGTTCGTCTCCTTCTTAGGTTGACCAAATGAGTACTGATACTTAAGTGCTCTAGTGCTATAGATGACTTTGAACTCTATTTTTAATTTTCTCATGCTTGTTTTCCAATTCTGTATTGAAACGTACCTCACTGCAAAAAAGAAGTAAAGATGGTATTCTAGGATTCTTTTCTACTATTTCTGTAACTGGTTGCTCTCTATAGGACATAAGACCGAAAAATACAATCTCGGATGCATACTTAAAAAGTAAGCTCCACAGAACTTCATTTCAAAAGTTTACAGAACTGTTGCGGCAACAGTACAGCCAATGCAATAACAAATCCTGTCTCTGTATAATATCAGGATGCTGTGATGTGCTTATTGCAGGCAACATGCAAAGTTTTTACTTTCTTGCTATTGACTTGGTTCCAAGCATTTTCTTCATGAAAAGGATAGAAGCCTGTAACCGAAAAAAATCTGCCTATCATTGTTGAGGTAAATCAAATCCCGTAACTAAAGGATCAGTAGTTCTTTTAGCGATCACTGGCACAGCTATTGGATGATTCTGAGTGAAGTTAAAAAAATTCCTAGAAATATTTGATCATCTTGCTTTAAGATCTAGGTTCAGGAAGTTGTAGAGTTCAAGCTGCATAATAACAACAGTATAACACTACGCAGCTTGCTTTAAAATGTCCTGTGATGTGGCATGAGAGAGTGTCTTGTGTCATTGTAATTCAAATCTAGGAGACTTTTCTCAGAAGCGACAGTGCTTCCCTAGCCACAACTTTTTTAAAAAATAAATAAATAACAAGTTTGTTTGAGCTACAGATCCAACAACACTCTCATCAAACTTTGTCAGTTTGTCTTTAAGCTAAAATGAGGATTTGGATTTACTTGCAGCTCCAGTTGCGAGGGAATAATTGTGTATACCTTTTTTCTGCTAAGATTCCATTTCATGTATGATTGATCAATTTAAACAGGAAGAGAATTTCCAGTTGTTTGAGCTACACTTCAATTGCTTGTTAAGACAGATTTTCCATTCTCTGTGTTGTGGGTTTCCTTGAAAGTTTCCTCTTTGTTTCCTTGACAGGGCTATGGAAAGCACCTTCAGATTATGCAAGGAATGTTTAGAGCTAATGGTGGCTGTGGTTATGTCAAAAAACCTAAATTTTTATTGAGCAAAGAGGGTTTTGATCCCACAGTGCCATTACCGGTTAAGAAAATTTTAGTGGTGTGTGGACTTGATTTATAACTATGGATGTTTTAAATTTCCACTGCTCATCTCTTTTACATTGAAGCATTTGGATTAATTACCTTTTTATTATCAGGTGAAAATCTACTCTGGGGAAGGGTGGCATTTGGATTTTCCCAACACACATTTTGATCCATATTCTCCACCTGACTTCTTCGTAAAAGTAAGATGATCTATACATGTAAATATGTTTATCCGCAAATGAATTTAGTATTTATATGCCTGTTGGAATTTCAAGTAACAAATTTGGGACTGTCCCTCCATTAGAGTTTCTACTTGTTGTAATCTCTTACATTCCAGGAGTTTGTCCAAAGTCTATTGTGCTCATCTTAATGCACTTCGCTAAGCATTACTCATTGGCATAAAGCTACTCTAGATTTCCCTCTTTCGGAACATGACCACGGAAGATTTTTTACTTATGATAACCAGTTGATGGATTAGCAGGTTGGAATTGCTGGGGTCGATGCTGATAAAGCTAAGGGAGAAACTGAAGCAGTTGAAAACAGCTGGCTACCGGAATGGAATGAGGAGTTTAAGTTCGAACTGACAGTTCCTGAATTGGCTATCCTTATGATTGAAGTCCTCGAGAAAGACAAATATGGAAAACATGACTTTGGAGGCCGAACATGTTTTCCTATATCAGAGTTGAGAACTGGCATTCGAGCAGTTCCATTACATGATCGTAGAGGAGTCAAATACAGGAATTCAAGGCTTCTAATGAAGTTAAACCTTTACCCATCAAAGGATGCCGTGCCTGAAGATGTCAGGATACTTTTCCAAGAGTACTCACAGGATGGCAACATGTCAATTGATGGTCTACATAAGTTTCTAAACGAGTATCAAGGAGAGAAGAACGCCACCAAAGAGATTTCTCGGGCTATCTTTATTAGTCTCAAACATTTCAACATCTTCCGTCTGGAAGCCTTCTATCAGTATCTTCTTAGCGACCTTAACACTCCTCTTTCTCCATCTTGCAACGTAATACTCCTCTCAACATCCAACCTCTTTTTAGCAATTCCTAATTATACTAAACATCTTCCGTGCAGCCATCGTTAATATCTCCATTATTACAATCATCTGTGTCATAGCCAATCGACGTAACTTTTTCCAATTCTTCTCTGTGCGTTTCTTCTGATGGTAATAATTTGTAATGTTTTTGAATGCAGGCACGCCATGACATGACTGCTCCACTAGCTCATTATTTCCTGTACACAGGCCATAACTGGTACTTGACTGAGAATCAGACAAGCAGTGAGGGCAGTGTTGAATCTATCAAAAAGGCTTTGCAAAAAGGTGCAAGAGTAATTGAATTAGATTTATGGCCATCCAAAAACAACAAGGTGGTGGTTTTCCATGGAAGGTATAAGTTAATTTTCATTTATTTATTATTCTAACATTGAGTGATTATGCCTGATGTTTATCTTGTTTCTTAATATGCATGAATAATTAATAATTATACTATCTACTAAAAAGAAATGGTATTTTACTGTAACCAAAATGGCTTTATTTTGGGTCTTTTAGACTCAACAATGTGCTGATTTTTTTAAAAAAAATAAGTGGTTTTTTTTTTTTTTGTCAATTTGTTCAATTTTTTACACTTTGATTCTCTAAATTATTAATTTATAGAAAATGATCCCTAATGTTAATTAGTATTACAAAAAAGTTTTTATAATTTTTTTGCTTGGACTGGGTTTCCAGCCCAGCCATGTGAGCTTTGTTTTCTCCAAGCCCATACAAAAAGGCTTGGTGTCAGTCCAGCCTCGCTTTTTTTTTTTTTCCTTTTTTTCCTATGCTTTTATTTTATTTTTTATTATTTAATCAAAATAAATTTTTTTCATAATTAATGGTTAGTTTTTTATTTTTATTTTTATAAAGATTCATTAATTAAAATTAAATATTCTTCTAATATAAATTGATTAAGAACCTCCTTCTAATTTGATTGTTTAAAAAAACAAAATTAATTGCATGTATTTTTTATTTATCAAGATAAAAAAAAATATTTCTAAAATGTATTTGAATTCAATTACACACATATAATACATATTAAATTAAATAATTTTTTCGCAATCAGTGTTAAGTAATTTTTATTTTATACTTATATTTTTAAATTATTTAAAATATTAAAACATAATATATAATAGACTCACCCAAAAGTATGTTTTTTAAAATTATTAATTGTAATCTAGTCTTTTTAGTTTATTGAAATTAATTAATTAGCACACATATAGCATCGGAAATAGTTAAATAATCTCTTGGCTACGTCAAGCATCCTCTTTTAGTTTTTTTTTTTTTAAATAATTTCTTTCCTAGTAAATATACTAAACAATATAGCCTTTGACTGTAATGAAGATCCTATTTTGGCTTTTAGTAATTTTTATTTTATTTTAGTTCCTATTTTGTATTTTTGTTTTTTAATTTTAGTCATTGAAGTTTTATTATATTTGATTTTTATCTCTCGCAATGAACTCTTTTTAACTTTTAGTGAAACTTTTTGTTACATTTTGGTTTTTATTTTATGATCTTTCTTTTATTTTAATCATTAATAAAACTTATTATGTTTGATTTTTCTCTTTTTATACTAAAATTAAATACGGTTTCATTATCCTAAGTCTTTTTTGGCTTTTTGTAAAAAAAAAATTCTTTTTGGTTTGATTCTTATTTTGTGTTTTTTCTGTTTTGTCATGAAAATTTTATCATGTTTGATTTTTATTCGTGTCTTTTGCATAATTGGTTTTTTAATCTTGTTGTTCATAAGTCTTTTTTGGCTTTTAATGAATTTTTTTATCTTTATTTTATGATCTTTATTTTGTTTTGATCATTTAAGTTTTGTTGTGTATATTTTTTTTTCTTATCTTTTGCCAAATAGCTAGGTTTGAAATATTTCAATTTCATTCTGATTTGATAAATTTTTTTTGTTTTTTTGTTTTGAGTGATCTCTTTATCGCATTAACAAACTACACATGAAAAATATAGGTAAAAGTTAATCATTCAAAATTCAAAAACTACTACATCGTTATTTTAATTATCATTTATATTTTATATTTTTAATAAAATACATGTTTGTATTAAATAATATCTAATTAATCAAATTATATTAATCAAATTTGTAAACTTTTTGTTTAACTAATCATGTGGTAATGCACAAAATATATGTTTTAATATTTTTATTTTTTGAATTTTATTTTACATGATTTTTTTAAATTTATATTTTACATGAATGAATAGATAAAATTGCCGTATAGCTCATCACGCGGAAACCAGTAGGGTATATGCTAGTTTAAACATATACCATCATGCTTAATTGCCTCCGCTCTAGTCAACAAGGATGCGTTCAAGCCTTTTGCCTTTTCTTATGAGGTCATCTAGGAACTACTCGTGGCCACCTAGGAACTTGTTATAGAGCTTGCAGTATTATATTGTTTTCGTCATCAGGGATTACGTTATCGGGTGTGATTTTGTCCTGATCACCACTGACCATGCATGATGAAAGCAGTAGTATTTCGATTATTTAGAAAGACAAATTGCTCAAGTATTGATGCTTCTGAATGTCAGATGCCGCTCCAAGTTGAATCATATTCGGGTTTTTTTCCCCTTCCCCAGACCATGCAGCCCAAGCTTCGTAACAACGCATTTTATGAGCTACAATCTCATTTTGAAAGAAAGAAAGAAAAGCTACAACCTGACAGATGAGATCATCCTTACTTCAGTGTTTTATTTCTTGACAGCTGTTGTAATTTCCATTTAGTTAATTCTAGAATGAGAACATCATCCAGATTAATGTCTTATAATGCATGAAAACAAGATCGTTGTTCAAGGTTCACCACTTTAGGAAATGTATTATTGTATTATGCCTCAAGCCCTCAAAAGATAGATTTCTTTTATATGTGCAGGACCCTGAATGGTTCAGCGGAACTCCTCGAATGTTTGCTTGCTATTAAAGAATTTGCCTTTCGGACATCTGAATATCCTGTGGTGATAACCTTTGAAGATCACCTACCAGCTGATCTTCAGGCTATGGTTGGTGAGGTGAGAGTGAACTTATATCATGGATTTTGTTGTTGTTAGCTTGGTTTTGAATGTACCTTTTGTGACCAAAATCAGCGTATCTGTAGATGGTCACTAAAACATTTGGGGGCATGCTGTTCCGTCCCGCAAGAGATATTCCATCACCGCAATCATTGAAGAAAAAGGTTTTGATTTCAACTAAACCACCAAAAGACGATCTTGAAACTCAAAATAGCAAATCTCCACAGAAGTCGAAAAAATCACCAAAGGAAGAACAATGGGATGATGAGAAGACAGCTTCCAAAACTGATCTTGAAACTTACGATAAGGTGCACCTGGAATAGTAATCATTCTGCTCTATTCTGAATGCTTCAAGAATTAAACGTTTTAATTGCTTATTCATGTCCTCCGCTGAGCAGAATGAGATAGGTGAGGGGGAGCAGCTTCAAGTAGAAGATGGAGAGATAAGAATGCCTGAATACAGGCATTTACTTGCCATTCGTGCAAGGAAACCGAAAGGTGCATTACAAAACTGGCTCAGTAAAGATGAGAAAGAAGTAAGATGTCTAAGCTTGAGTGAGCAACAACTTGAAAATGCTACACGAACATATGGAAAAGACATTATCAGGTAAATAAGATCATATATTCAGAATAAATTTCTGAAACAAAGTCCTGTATGCGTATCTTACTCTGCAAATGTTCATACAAGAACCCCCAAAAGAATCACTAGCTTTATTCAACCACTTGGTTTCATTAACAAGGATTTTGTGCTTGTTGATATACAACCTACGTTGTTAAGTCAGGGACAATATGGCAGTCCAGAATGTCTACACCTCGGATCTTCTGCTCATTCATGTGGCAGGGCATGCCTATCTAAACTTGTTTTAGTATTGATTGTAACCTCGATATTATTTACCTTGCCATTTTAATTATCAAATCTAATTATGGATTCTAATAATTTCTTCCTGTAGGTACACCCAGCATAACTTGTTGAGGGTCTACCCCGAAGGTACACACATTGATTCATCTAATTACGATCCTTTTGTCGGATGGATGCACGGAGCTCAAATGGTTGCATATAATATGCAGGTTTGTCTCCTACTTAGGTTGACAGAACGAGTACTGACACTTTTGTGCTCTAGGGGTATCTATGATTTTGAATTCTATTATTAATTTTCTCATGCATATCTTCTGATTCTATATTGGAATACTCCTCACTTCAAAAATAAGTAAAGAGGGCATTGTAGCCTTCTTTTTCACTATTTCAGTCATTGATCGCTCTCTATAGGACATAAGAACGAACAAGACACACAAATGAATACTTTAAAAAGATAACCTTGATGGAAGTTCTTTAGGTTGCAAAAGTGTTGTTCCAACTTTACAGCCTATGCGATAACAAAGCAGGTCTCAGTATAATATCAGGGTCCCCAGATGTGCTTATTTCAGGCAAGATACATATACAGTTTAGTTCTTGTTATCGTGTTGGCTTTAAGCATTTTCTTCATGTAAAGGGATACAAGTCCATAACCAAAAAATATCTTCCTATCGCTGTGGAGGTAAATCAAGTTCCCTAACTAAATCAGTGGTCCTTTAGGTAATCACTGGCTACGATTTTTGGAGTGTTCTGAATAAAGTTCCAGAATCCCTAAAATCTTTGGTCATCTCCCGTTAAGATCTAGAGTTTGTATGTTGTAGAGAAGAGTTCAAGCGGCATAATAATAACATTATGCAGCTTGCTTTCAAGTCTAACTGTCTAGGAGACTTCCTCCCAGATGAGACAATGGTTCTCTAGCCACAACATCAGCACTATCATCAAACTTTGTCAGTTTGTCATTAAGCTAAGAGTGGGATCTGGGTTTACTAGCAGTTCCAATCACAAGGGGAGAATTGTAAATGCGTTGTTTCTGCTAAGATTCCATTTTCATGCATAATTGATCAATTTAAACAGGAAAATTTTCAATTTTTTGAGCTCGATTTCAGTTGCTTCTTATGTCAGATTGGCCATTCTGAGCGTTGTGGGTTTCCTTGACCCTTTCCCCTTTATTTCCTTGACAGGGCTATGGGAAGCAGCTTTGGGTTATGCAAGGAATGTTTAGAGCCAATGGAGGCTGCGGTTATGTGAAAAAGCCTGATTTTTTATTGAGGGAGGAGGTTTTTGATCCTAGTGCGCAATTACCGGTCAAGAACATTTTGAAGGTCGGTAGACTTAGGCAGTAACTGAATCCGTTTTATATTTGCACTTTTAACTTCTTTAACAGTGAACAATTTGGATTTACTTTTGTGTTATTAGGTGAAAATCTCATCTGGAGAAGGGTGGTATTTGGATTTCTGCCACATGTATTCTGCACCTGACTTATTCGTAAAGGTTAGATTATCTATGTAACTTTGTGTAATACACTGGTATATGTTCCTGTTGGAATTTCAAGTATTTTTGGCACTGTTTTATCGTCAGAGGTCTATACATATTGTCAAGGTTTACACGCCGGAAGTTTTTCCATGTTTGTTATGCTCTCTTAACAAGTGGTTCAGTATTCATTACTCATTGGCATAATGGATTCACAGGTTGGAATTGCTGGGATCCAAGCTGATAAAGCTGAGTATAACACAAACATAGTTAAGAACAGCTGGGTACCGGAATGGAACAAGGAATTTGAGTTCAAACTGACTGTTCCTGAATTGGCTGTGCTCACCGTCGAAGTCCTCGAGCAAAACATTTCTGGAAAGAGTGACTTTGGAGGCCAAACATGTTTGCCTATATCAGAATTGAGAACTGGGATTCGAGCAGTTCCATTGCATGATCTTAGAGGAGAAAAATACAAGAATACAAGGCTTCTTATGAAATTTGACCTTCGAGACGCCAATGAATTTTCTGAGTGACAAAAATCGTGAGATTAATTGTCTCCATTAGTGGATTGAACATAGGAGCTATTCCTTCCATCCAATTTTATAGCTACTCTTTCCTTTTATATACCTTTGTAAATTGCCATCTCATTGTAAGCATTGACACAAGTAAATGAAAAAGATCTGAAATGTTAATAAGATTAGGCTATTTAAGCTAGGCCAACTAAATTAGATCCTTTGCCAGTAAAACTATTTAGAGGAAAATTCCACCTTAATATCGATCTGTTCGCAGTTATCATAATGAATGGCTACATCATTTATGAAACAACCATGCCTCTTGTTTGGAAGATTGCAGAACGTTAGGTTGGCATGATGCGGTTGCTTTTGTGTTGTTAACTTGAAACGAAGTATGTAAAACATGCTTGGAAATGACAAAACTTATGACGTAACTAATAAATCTTGGGTGCAGAACTACAAAACAGAGATTTGTGCCCCCCAGAGAAGTGATCTGTCCTTGTGGATTAGAACATTAAAAGTAGAAAGGGGAATATATAAATGGGTCATGATAATTGTGTATGCTCTTCACAACTTCAGTGCCAAGCATTTTGCGCATACAAATGGACAAAGTTCTCATCCCCCATATCTATATTTCCACAAAAGAAGAATAAGAGGTAGGTATCCAATTCTCTGCCCCACTAGTCTTTTTTTTTTTTTTAATCTATTCTTGCTTTACTGTTCAAACCAATGACAAGCAACCTCTTTCGTTTATATCAAGAAAAAGTTTCAAATCCATACAATAGCTACAACCAGGTGCTTCTCACCTCTTTGTTTCTTTTCTATAAAAAAAACACAAAACACATAGAGACACGAGACGGAGAGAGAGAGAGAGAGGATGTGAACTTAAGCTGTTTTCTTACAATATGTGCATGAGACAGATTCTCACTTTGCTGAGACGCAACTTTTGAGAATGTACTGCCATATGAAGACATTCTCCTCTTTCTCCATGCTTTTTAAGCAGAAAATGTACGTTGAATCATAAACAAAAACAACTTAAGCATTTCATCTCTTTCTCTGTGATAAATGTCCAAGCAGTCTTTTAGAGTCTGCTTCTGTTTCAGGAGAATATTCAAACTCAGGGTTCTTGAGCCTCCTGAAGATGTCAAGACCCTATTTGACCAATACTCGCAGAATGGAACCATGTCTCTCGATAATCTACATGGTTTCTTGGTTGAGTTTCAAGGAGAACACAAGGCCACCAAGGACGATGCTCAGGCTATCTTCAATAGTCTCAGGCATCTAAACATCTTCTCAAGAAGAGGCCTCCAGCTTGAAGCCTTCTTCCGATATCTTCTAGGAGAACTTAATGGTCCTCTCTCTCCATCTCGTGGGGTAATCTTATTTCCCTTTCTCAAAGTCAACTAAATATCTATATTTCTTCACCACCCTTTTTTTTTCTTTTTTCTTTTTTTTCCCTTTCAGCTTCAGAATCATACAAAACATCTACCGCTCGAACATCGTCTCAGTTTTTTCAAATCATTTAATCCTGATAATCAAATGAATACTCCTAAGTCCTGACAGTAACAGCTTGAGAAATGTCTTTGAATACAGGTGCATCATGACATGGCTGCACCACTGGCTCATTATTTCCTATACACTGGCCATAACTCTTATTTGACTGGAAATCAACTCAGCAGTGACAGCAGTGCTGAACCTATTATAAAGGCTTTGAGGAAAGGTGTAAGAGTAATTGAATTGGATTTGTGGCCAAATTCCACGAAAGACGAGGTGGAGGTTCGCCATGGAGGGTATGAGGTTTATTTTCATTTATTTCAAATTCCAACTTTGTGTCCTAATGTTGTTTATGCCCTTCTAATTTGTGATGTTCATTGAGTTGAAAATGGGGGGGGGGGGGGGGGGACTACATTTTTCTTGCTGTCTGACTAGTTCATATGGATTAAACATTTTTCATTTTTTGAATCAAACATGGTCAATGAGTAACTTCTGCAAATTTTTTCCCCTTGCTATGGCTTATATTATTTTGCTGGGTTTTGGTTTCTCAAGATGGAATCAGTAATATTTCGTCCATCTAAAATGAAACACCATGCCATGTTTCTGAATAACAGAAACAGCTCCAAATGGAATCATTTTCGTTATTGTTGCTTTTACAGCCTAAAACCTTGGGCATCGGATCATTCCTGCTTCATTTTCCTTTTCACAAATATCCTACTCCACCGAATATTTATTCATTAAAAACAGGGATGTTGGTATTGGTGTTTTACAAAGCAAAGAATTGGCAATACAGACTTTTGATCCTATATTCCTAGAGTCCATTTCTGCTCCAAGAGGTTGATAGCCTGACAAAATAAATCATTCTTCAAATGACCGAACTTCTTTCTTTCTTTCTTTCTTCTTTTGCCTAAGTGTAGGACACTCACTAATCCAGTGGACCTACTCAAATGTTTACATGCTATTAAGGAAAATGCTTTTCAGAAATCTGAATATCCAGTTGTGATAACCTTTGAAGACCACCTACCTGCCAATCTTCAGGCTAAGGTTGCGGAGGTGAGAGTGAACTTAAGCCGTGGATTTTTATGATTAAAATTGTTTAGAATGTAATATTGTGTGACCGAAATCAGTATGTCTATAGATGGTCACTAAAACATTTGGAGACATGCTGTACCGTCCGGAGACAGATCAATTAGGGAAATTTCCATCACCGGATTCATTGAAGAAAAAGGTTATGATTTCAACTAAACCACCAAAAGAGTATCTTGAAACTCAAACTAGTAAGCCTCTACAAATGTCAAAAACATCATCAAAGAAAGAACAATGGGATGATGAGAAGACAGCTTCCAAAAATAATCTTGAAACTTACGATAAGGTGAATCTAGAATTGTACTTATTCTGCTCTTATTCTAATGCTTCAAGAATTAACCTTTTCAATTACTTGTTCATGTTTTTCACCAAGCAGGACGACATAGATGAGGGAGAAGACCTTCAAGATGAAGACGAGGAGACGATGACAGTTCCTGAATATGGGCATTTAATTTCCATTCACGCAGGGAAACCAAAAGGTGCATTACAAAACTGGCTCAGCATGGATGAGAAAAAAGTAAGACGTCTAAGCCTGAGTGAACAAGAACTCGAACGTGCTACTAGAAGATATGGAACTGACATTATCAGGTATATAAGATCATATTCTAAATAAATTTCTTAGAGAAATTCATAAAAAAAGATTTTATGCTTCCTTTCTATAGGACCTATGTTGTTAAGTCAGAGACAACATGGTATAGTCCAGAATGTCTTTAACACCTTGGATCTTCTGCTCATCCATGAGGCAGGACATGCCTGTCTAAGTTTGTTTTAGTACTTATAATAACCACCGATGTTATTTACTAGTTCTCAAGTCTAATGATTTCTTCATCTAGATTCACCCAGCGTAATTTGTTGAGAGTGTACCCCAAAGGTACACGCATTACTTCTTCTAATTACAATCCTTTTGTTGGGTGGATGCATGGAGCTCAAATGGTTGCATTTAATATGCAGGTTAGTGTCCTTCAGATTTCTGAATGAGTAATAATTTCGATAGTAATTGACAGTTATCAAACGATTGTTCATGTTCATATATATATATGTATATATTCTGATGCAACATGGCTGTAGAATTATACCTCAAAAAAACGATTAAAGATGACATTCCACTCGAGGACATTGTCCAACCCATAAACATCTTTTAGCAACAAGATTTACCAGCTGGAAGCAGAATACCAGAATTAGAGGGCTGGTCAGCACATGAAAACATAATGTTAAATCAAACAAGGATGGTCTCAAATGGATATTTAAAAATAAGTGGAACATTTTTTTCACTCAAAACCAACCTTGAAGTTGCATGTAAGAGTAGATAGTCCAAGTGAATAGAATCAGCACAGTTGCGTCTGCTTGATATGAGTATCCTGCTGTATGGTTCTTGAGGGGAAGATATAACGTCCATGACTATATCTATTTGTTTACCCTATTGGTTCTGTGCATTTTTACATCAAGAGAGATGCAAGTCAGTAACAAAAAAATTGCCTACATCACTGAGGCAGATCAAGTCCAATAACAAATCAGTAGAGCTTCCGATAAAGTGCACTAGTGACACTACGACAGTTAGAAGGAACTTGGATTTCATATTAGCTTTAAGTGCATTGGAACAATGGTTCATTAATTGTTTTTCAGCTAAGGTTCCACTTTTATGTGAGTTTCCAGTTGTTTGAGCCAAGTATAAATTGCTTGTTGGAAAAGATTGCCCTTTTCTAAGTTGTTTATTTCCTTGACTTCTTCTTTTGTTTCCTTGGCAGGGCTATGGGAAGCACCTTTGGGTTATGCAAGGAATGTTTAGAGCCAATGGAGGCTGTGGTTATGTGAAAAAACCTGAATTTTTATTGAGAGATGAGGTTTTCGATCCTATTGTGCAATTAACTGTTAAGATAATTCTGAAGGTGCGTGGACATAGGTAGTAACTATAAATGTTCTAAATTTCCATTTCTCATCTCTTTGATATTGAATCATCTGATTTACCTTTTCATGAACAGGTGACGATCTACATGGGAGAAGGTTGGGATTTGGATTTTCGGCGCACACATTTTGATATGTATTCTCCACCAGACTTCTTTGTAAAAGTAAGATGACCTATAGCTATCTGTTTAATCGCAGGTGTAATCAACAAGCAAGTTAAAATATATATGATTCATTCTCAGGAATAAGTCACAAGTTTTGAGGCTGTTCTACTGACAGCATTGTAAACTTGCACTAACCTTGGAGGTGCCAATTAAGTTGTTTCTAAGTGTTTTCTGCTAATCTTAATTTGCACAACTGTCACGCTGCTCCTTTCCTTGATGCTGCTCTGCATTTCCCTCTGAAATGAGCCTAACCTCCATGAATCTGAACATTGACCAAAATGCTATGAGAGGACTGATTAATTAATTGGTTTGCAGGTTGGAATTGCTGGAGTCCCGGCGGATAAAGCTATGTATAGAACAAAAGCAATTGAAGACGACTGGCTGCCTGTATGGAATGAGAAATTTGAGTTCAAACTTACTGTTCCTGAATTGGCTGTGCTTAGAATTACAGTTCGCGAGTACGACACATCTGGAAAGCACGACTTTGGAGGCCAAACATGTTTACCTATATCAGAGTTGAGAACTGGGATTCGAGCAGTCCCATTACATGATCGTAGAGGAGTCAAATACAAGAATACAAAACTTCTTGTGCAGTTTGAAAAGAATTGATCGTACAGTATGCATCAGTACACCCACCATATTTTACCGTGCTGTTGACATGTATTGTTTACCTATCACTTTATTGCAGATCTTCAATCATACATTGCAAACTTTTTACAGGAAAACATTGGACACTCTGATATTAAGAAAGCATATCTGATTCTATTTGAAAGCAAAATCATGAATTTGAGGGGATAGGCGTGAGTTGGTAGTACTTTTTCGGTTGTCTGATTACAGAAAATGTTGATGGGGAAAACAAAACCAAACGCAAATCTATATTAAAAAAAAATCACAATACATAAGCGGTTACTTTTTTGCTACATTTGAAATGTTTGATGGAAAAACGTAGTAGACTTACTAAATTATTGATTTAACTACAAAATAAAGGCCTTGAGGAAGAAGCATTCTTTGAACAAATTACAGTATTTTAAACAAGAAATTCTTCTTTTTTCTTTTTTTTTCACTCTGCTTGATGACAAGGCAAGAACTCTCAGACAAAAATTCTGTCATCAAAATTTCGGTTAAGAGTTCTAGTTTGTTAGAACTTGCTATCGGCCACCTAATAAATAGTTGAGAAAGCTGCAATATTTTTAAAGAAAACCGAACATATCTATGCTGCGTTCGTACAGATTATATTCTGATATTCGCATTCTGAATTTTTAATGCAAGTAAGATATTATCAGAGCAAGAAAACATGAAAGCATATGAAATTTTTCTAAGTGTCGATTATGACATGTTAAAAGCTGATTGACCCTTAATGGAGGATTAGATTCAAAGAAATTGGAAGCACATTTGAATTGGTCGTAGAAACTAAATAATGAGCTTAAAATCTCTTATCAAGCCGCAGCTGCTGAACACCTAATGCAGATTCGGGAGGCCGATAGATCAACAAATCATAACAGATTATTCATTTGTTTTTGCTAAAGTCAATTCACAGATTGAAGTTGAGGTTGATCAAGTCAGTATCTGTAACCTCATCCTTGTTAAGAGGACTCCTCCAACCTCCTGCAGATAATGTAAATATATGTGATTAAACAGCCCATCCTACATTAAAAAACCAACAATTGAATCTGAAAGAATTTTATATTTTGCTAGCTTCTATAAAAATATTATTATACATAAGCTAGAGATTATGATTTTATTGTAGTTAAACTCTTGCTACAATGGCCAAAACTGAGTCGTTTTACGTTTTTTTTTTTTTTAAATTGAAACAATGTCGTTTTGCCAAAATAATAATAATAATAATAAATTTTTTTGGATATGTTGTGTTTTTTTTTTTTTAACACTCTGATCATTCAGGTCTTACTTTTATTGAAAATGGTTTTTAAATTTAATTTGTATTACACAAGGTTGTTGTGTCTTTTTTATATTGGGTTGTGCTTCAGTCCAGGCATGTGGGCTCGGTTGTCTTAAGCTCATCTGGATAAGGGCCTCCTTTTTTGGTTTCTTTTTTCTTTTCTTATGCTTTTATTGTAATATTATACAAAATGGTCCCCAAACTTAATTTTTTTACAACATAATTCTTGTGTTTTTTTTTTTTTTTATGATTGGGTTGTGCTTTTAAAAAAAAATTTAATAGTTATTTTTTATTTTTTTATAAACTCATTAACTAAATTAAGCATTCTTCTGATATAAATCGATTTAGCACCATCTTTTAATTTGATTAATTAAAAAAAATTAATTAATTGCATGTTTTCTTCTTCTTCTTTTTTATTGATTAAAATCAAAAATATTCATAGGATATATTTAAACTCAATTATAAAATATAAATATTTTACTAAATATTGCATAATATAAATTTTCACAATTAATGTTAATTAATTTTTATTTTACATCTAGCTAGATTTTTTAAAATTATTTAATATGATTTACACTTAAAATTTTTACAATATTAAAACATATTATATAGATTTAAGAACTATGCTAGTGAAAACTACATGAAAATTGAATCTGAAAAGGAATAGGAAGATCATCCAGAAGCCGCAGAGAAGAGAGACTTATGTAGCTAATATATTTTGATTTTGGATTGTGTATAAGGTTATGAGGAAGCATTTTCCAAAACAAGAGAGTGCAAATTCCATTGCTGAATTAGTAATTTTGCTTCCCATTAATATTTTCTGTTAGTTGTCAGTAAGAATCGCTAAAATGATTAAACCAGATCCATCATCTCCAGTTCGAAATTTCATTGAAATGAATTCTTGATTCATCCAAAAGACACAGCAGCTCTAGGGGTTGAAGATAACTAGATGATCCAGATGGACTTTGCGATCTCTAAAATGCATGGAAAGTGAGAATTTGGCACCTTCTGTTTCATAAGAACTTGATTTGTAGATCTTCTTTCTGGAAGTCCACCCAAAAGTCCTATCATCAAATGCTAAAAAAATGGAATCATTGCATAAAAGATGAATTATTTACCCAAAATAACCAATTGAAATACAATTGGCCTCTAAAGGAAATTTGAAAAAACCAACAATAATCGTTGGCCATCGATATTATAAGTTATAACCCAACAAATACTCTTACTAATGCATAGTTGGCTGAAACAGAGATTAACAAAAAGTGACAATGGTAAGGTACAACAAAAGAGAAAATCTCAAAATCCTCTCTTAAAGTAGAACAATGGCACAGGATTGTAGAGAAATCATCCTACTCCCATTCACACATTGAAGGACCAAAGGTTCCATTGGCATCATCACTCCATAAAGAAAGAATTTAACGACTGTTCATAAATCTACAAATCCAAATAAATGATCCAAATGATAGACAATAAGCAAATGACCCACCTCAGCATCTTCGCCCCTATCAGTTCTGACAGAGGTTTCCATCTTCCGGTCTCCCCTCCAAATAAAGTCAGCTGTCCAATAAAAACCTACAGTATATAAACATTTGGAATCATATGTGTGCGCATCGGACAGCTCGTAAAGAAACTAAAACAAATGGTTTTTATTGCAGTTAAATGAGTGAACAAAATGACGTAGTTTTAAGTTTTTTTAGCATTAAACGACGTGTTTTATCTTGAAATTTAACTAATATTTTTGGAAATTTTATGTATTTTGTTACACGTTGGTTCTTAGAAATAATTTTATATGAAACAGTCTCTGAACCTTTTTTGTTACCACAAAGTCTCTTAATGTTGAGGGAGGAAAAGTGGAGGGTTCGGTTTTTTGGATTTCTAGGGTGCATTAGAGCATGTGTTGAAATTCAAAATGAATTTTTACATGTCTTAGGGATGATTTTAGGTGAAACGGGTGTAGAAATTGGGTTTGAGAGATCAACAACAATTGTCTCTATTTTTTCGACGACCAAATGATAGTAGAAAGTTGCATAGAGCGGTGGCAAAGTTGCAACACCACAGCTCATGGCGGCCTGACGGGCGACGTCTTAGTCCACTCTTTTTTTAATGACCGGACTTTGCTTTTAGTATAGGCGCACGAGACTAGTTGTCTCCAGGCCCATCCACACGGGCTTGATGCACATCCCAGCCCAACTTTCTTTCTTTATTCTTATTATTATTATTCTTATTATTAATGATTTTAGTTTTTCATTATTTATTATTTGCTCAAAATAATTTTTTTCCGAAAATTTAAAGTTTTTTTTATTTATTTTATAAACTCATTGACTAAAATTAAATATTATTTTAATTTATATTGATTTAACTAATCAATTATGTGTTTTTTTTTAACTAAAATTAACTAAAATCAATTAACTAAAATTAATTAACCAATTATGTGTTTTTTTTAACTAATCAAAAGCAAACATATTTATAGGGTATATTTAAAATCATACATGGAATATAAAATTTTATTAAGTACTGCACAATACATATTAAATTAAATAAATTATTAATTTGTATTATAGACCTAGATTATTTAAATTATTAAATTATATTATATAGACTTACCTACGATGAAAACTATATTATTTTTTAAAAAAATGGTCTTATTATTATTATTATTATTATGTCCAACTGTCAATTTCTAATTATTTTCTATCCAATCTTTGAATTTTTTTATTTTTTTATTTTTTGTGCTCGAAATCACTAGAGACTTAATTTTACTAAAGTGTTCGACAAAAGCTATCACGTGGTATTTTTTAATTGTCATGTGATAATAAAAAAGCCACGCATCACTCAACTCCAAACACAGCAATAATTCTTATTCTCATGTAATTTTGGACACTCAAATAGAAAACAAATCAAAAATTGGACACTCGAAATAGAAAAAAAAAAAAAAAAGTTGGACACTAAAACAGAAAAAAAAAAATCACAGGTTAGGCATCAAAAATGCAGTTTTCTCAAAAAACTTATTGTCTCGAGATTATAAAATTAGTCCATCAATTTCTATTTGGTTGCATTACCAACAAATTTTATCATGCTCTTAGCATTTCCTACTAATCATAGGCAATTTTGGGGGTCAATACCCTCACCTATCTTTCTATAACATGTCAATTTTTCAATCTATTATTATATCCTAAAACACATCTATTAATTATTATGCCTATATTATTTGAGCTAATTTCTAATATGTTATTTCGGTCAATTTTTTCCACCAAATCAACAAAAAATGTCATGTGACATTTACTTTGATAAAAATGCCCCTTGTATCTTAACATGTTATGTTTTTAATCTGTCCTTATATAATGTGTCAAGTTTTTTATATGTTCTTACAACTAAAGAGTCTATATATTATTTTTAGTAATTTTCCAAATAATGTGTTGCAAATTTTTTGTTAATTAAAAATCTATAAAAATAATTAGTACAAGTTAGCATATAATTGTTAAAAAAAACATTCATTTAACATGTTAATGTTAAAGAGTTTATTATATTATTGTCATTGTAATAATTTACTTAAATATATTATTGAACAAGTTGATATAATATTTATCAATATATTAAATCAAAAGAAAACATGTGAATCATATCCAAAAAATAAATAATTATATAATTAAAAAATATGTAATTATTCTTTTAATTACATAAATAAGAGACTAATTAAAAATTACTTAAATATAATTATTATTTTTTAATTTCTTGAACAGTTACATACTAACTTAAACTAATTGCTTTTATATATTTTTAATTAAAAAATTTATTATAGTGCAACACATTATTAGAAAACTTTTTAACAATAATATAATGAAATTTTTAATATTAAGGATGTATTGAAAACTCAACCAATTATATAAGAACATATTGAAAACTTGATATGTTAAAAGACAAGGGGCATTTTTATCAAAGAAAAAATCATGTGATATTTTTGGGTGGTTTGACTAGAAAAATCAACATGAAAAATAAATTAGAAACTAGTTCAAATAACATGAACATAATAGAGATGTTTTAGAATATAAGAACAAATTGAAAACTTGGCTTGCTATATAAGGATATGCAAGGATAATAACCCTAATTATTTACTATTACGTATTAGTTAAAAATTACGTTTTGAAAATTCTAAAACTTTTTAGCTCACCGCCACGTATATATAAATCCATTTAAGATTAAATTCGAAAAAACAAAAGACATATAAGTTAAAAATTACTTTTCTTTCTTAATTTTTTGGAATTTTCTATTAGTTAAAAATTATGTTTTGAAAATTCTAAACACATTTAGACCAAATATATTTAAGATCCAATTAAAATTAAATTTAAAAAAAAAAAAAAGACATAGAAGGTCCAATTATGATTGTCATTTGCGGAACAAATGGTTGACCAATAGAAAAATTTACAAATAATAAAAATTGTTTTCTCTGTCTAAAAACAAGATTGACTAACATATCACAAGTTATATAAGTTTTACTGTTGCTAATAATTTGTTGAACTTTTTATAGTAGGTTGAGATAGGATAGAATCAATATGAATAAATTTAGAGATTAAGTTTTTTTTTTGAATGTTTGAAGGTAAAATACTTTTGGTATTGATGACGATAATGGTAAAAATAATAAATAAAATGTGAATTAAGTTAAGAAGTGAATGAATTGTTAATATTGCATGTGCAATTAGTATAATAACAAGAAGTTATGCATGCATGTAACCGCTAATGTTTTTTAAATTTAAAATTATAAGACTTTTAATATCCGAAAAGAAGTTTTGAGAGATCATATATATAGAAATTATAGAACTACAAAAAAAAAAAAAAAGCATGAAATCTATTTATAATAAAGAAATGATATATCAAAGTATAAGAAAGAGAGACATTTGGTGCAACAAAACTGAAATAAATTTCTTGATAAAACTACATTTTCTATGCCTAACCATTGATTTTATTTATGTTTCAGTATCCAACCTTAATTATTATTTTTTTCTATTTTAGTGTCTTTGATTTTATTTATTTATTTATTTCTATTTGAGTGTCTAAAGTTATCTTAGAGTATGAATTGTTGATATATTTGAAATTGACTACAACGTGGCAGTTTTTGCTAGAGATGTAAGTAAAATTGGGCTTTTGTTGACTCAAGGCAGCAAAATAGGAAAAAAAAATCAAAGGTTTGATAGCAAATAATTAGAAATTAAGAATTGGAAAAGAAAAAAAATTGGGTATCAAAAAAGTCGTTCTCTTAATTTTTTTAGACCCAATCATATGCTTCACAAGGACAGAGTCATGCTAAAATCCCACTTTCACCGGATCTTTTCAGATTGCTCTCACAAATCGGACAGCCTGTGACAGATCATGTGAAATGGCAACCATTTTTTAAACTTCAACGCTTGATGCCCGTTATTGATTATATCCTAAACAACACAACAGAGCTAAGCCTTTCCTTTCTTAGGGCTTAACCTTTCTTATCCTGAATACACTGGATTGCTATTCGTGATCTCTTAGAATAAGTTCAGTAATTTTATCAACTAAATCAGCTGGTAGCCAGGCAGACACTCAACAAACTTGCATTTATTGCTCAGTAACTTCAGTTCTTTGTCAGACTTTGATTCTGCTGCAATTTGTTTGGCTGTGATGGACCCCATATGTCTCTTCCATCTTTTAAGCACATTAGAATTCTCCACTAAAATGTGTGAAGACCTAGGAGAGATCTTGACCAAGTTTAATTATAAAGGACACAGTATACACTAATCCCTTGAAACCATGTGATTCAGAGCCCACTACATGGGTGGAATGATTTTGCTTGGAATCTCCAATAAATCCCCTTGCCCCCATGTCTCCCAGACCAGCTAACTTTTGCTGATAAAACTAAAGTCCTGATTAGTTTAACATGCAACAAGAAAAAACAAAGTGAAGTGATAGCAAAAGAAACCTCAAGATCGAAGCCAGAAGAAAAGGAACAGATCAAATATCAAGGAAAATGCTTTTAATGCAAGTACACAACAAACAACATAAAAATAGGAACCATCATGTTAGCGATAACTAACTTTAGTAGTTTTATGTACACTTGCAGAAAGAATAAAACTTTGTAGGATATTATCTCAATCAGATAGGTAAGTGGAAAACGAAAGTTAGAAAGGAACTCAACAAAAATTGCATGGATTTTCTTTTGGCATGGATATACATTTCTATTCAATCTGAAGGAATGGAGAATGTGGCAGTGGAGAAACTATCGTGGACCTCTTCACAAAGAGCCAATGCTCTTTCCAAATTAGCAACTACGTCAATAATATTAGGCCTCTCTTTTCCCTCCAAATTTACACAATGCATTGCAGTATAGGCCATAAGCTCCACTGCCTCAGTCTCTTGCATCTCCGGCGGCCCCACCCTTTTATCCAACATATTCTGCAGCATCCCTCTTTCTATCAATGGTGTTGCATAATCCACAATTCCCATTGGGCCCGCCCCATCTTCATCATTCCTGAACACAGCCCTTTTTCCTGACAAAAGTTCTAATAATACCACCCCTAAACCATAAACATCACTTTTTGCTGTTAACACATTTAATACATAGTACTCAGGATCAATATATCCTACTGTCCCAACTGCCCTGGTTGACATGAATTCTTGATCAGATTCTGGACCCATTAGTGATAATCCAAAATCAGATACTTTAGCTGTCCAATTTGCATCCAGCAGTATATTAGAGGACTTGATGTCTCTATGAATAATAGGAGGCACTGCATAGTTGTGGAGATACTCAATTCCCCTTGCAGCATCTAATGCAATCTTGATCCTTATTTTCCAAGAATTAAGAATGCTGCTACTCTTTTCAGTATTTTCCTTGTTATGCAAACGATCATGGAGAGCCCTGTTGCTCATGTACTGATAAACCAAAAGCCTCTCGTCATTTTCTTCGCAGAAACCTATGAGCCCCAGTAAATGCTTATGGTGAAGCCGAGATAGCAGTGCTAGTTCCGAATGGAATGCACTTTCTTTCTCCTGAAATTTCCTTGTCTTTGGACCGGTTTCTCCTCTTTTAATTGCCACTTCA